CTGAAGGAATGCGGCCCTTGCTTTGCCATCTTCAACTGACACAAGGCTAATAATTGTAGAACTAACTATATATACAATCACACAGTTCCAATTTTATTTTATTTGAACACATAGATATTGGTACAATAAGGCACCAAATATATATGCGCCACACAGATCTCATTTGATTTGTGTGAGAGCTATGATGCTGCCCGGGTTGTCAAACCGAAGCGGGTGGTTCCCTTAGGAGGCCACACCCAGAGTTTTTGACCTGAAGATCTGATCCACAAGGTAGTGGAGCATCGTAGGGAGATGCAGTCCCATTTTAGTCGGTGACCAACGATTGGTTCATACGCCATTTATTCCCTCAGGCAGGATACTGGAGCCTATGTGCACCGTTTGTTTGCAATCAGGTTTCTCCAACTCCCCTATGTGCACGTTTACATTTGACTATGAAAGATCATTCGGTCATTCAATAGCTAAGATTACTATTGATTGATTTGCCTAGAGGTTGGCCAATGGAAGAGGATTGGTTGGAGATATATCTTTCATACAAAGAGAACAAACCAACTTCCAGCTGAAAAGGAAATTAGGAAAAGTTTATGGAAGTGGATAAGACATACATTAGGCAAATCACCAAACTGCATCACGAGACAAGTGCTAACTTGGAATCTTGAAGGGAAGCGGAAAAGTGGAAGGCCAAAGAACACATTACGTCGGGAAATAGAAGCAGATATGAAAAGGATGAATAAGAACTGGAAAGGATTGCCACTGACAGAGTTGGATGGAGAATGCTGGTGAGCGGCCTATGCTGCCTCACGAGGAGTAACAGGCGTAAGTAAGGGATTTTGCTATGTCGTGACAAGCATAATGAATGGTAACTTTTGGATCCATTTATGGTCCAATACTATATGTATATTTTTATCATATGATTGTTAATTAACTAAACTATTCATATTCATGTCCCTCTTAACGTGAGCTTTGTTTTAACCTATAAGCTGTTATTATACGATTTACCATTCTTGAATTAGACTCTGTCTATCAATTATTACCTCACTAATTCACAGCCATTTTTGGCTAATTCTTATACAAATGCATGTTTGAAATAAGCGATTCATATCACAGAGGCTCTGGTTGGTGTTCTGAACTCACCCGCCTGCACTAGGCAGGAAGTAAGACCAACAGGGATTCTAGACTGCTCATACGTGTTTTGTGTGTCACTGGTCCGATGGATAATTCACGGCACTCTAATTAACGAGATCGTTACGTGATACATTAGCAGGGCTCTCAGGCCACAAGTTATAACAGATTATCGACTAGTTTGTACTACATGGGTCAATATCGAACTGTTCACTTTCTTCACAAAACCTTTGTTTAACCACTCTGCGGTGTTTTCACAAGTACAAGTACGAAAATCTCATCTTTATCATTGTCCCTATAACTATGAACAAACAAGGAGTGTTTCATGAAAGTGTCTAATGTCCAGCTGATGCTGACTTTCCACAGACTGATCACTTTGGAGAGTGATTTGGTATTCTTCTTGAGAAAACGACAAAGATACAAAACTCCAAATATGACTGACATTCTCATGCAAAAGTATATGATTTATGTGAACGACAGTGATGAATATGAAACCTTAGAACTATCTACGTATTACATTGATTTATTTCCTTGTCCGAATTAATATGCTCAAATCAATATAAACATCCAAGTTGTGAATAGGAGATTATATGTTTAGTGCATTGAATTCTACATTACCTACTCACCGTCATTTAGACAATTAACCCACTATAAACAACGATCTGTGTGTTCGATTGGAAGCATTCTGCATCTAAAGTTTCTTCTCTCATCCTCTTAGTGGTTGAAAACATGGACAAACAATAATTTATCCACATTTAGAAATTTCAATCTTCTACACACACAGTCATTCACCCGTTCACTCACTCACTCACTCAATCACTCACTCACTACCCAGAGTAATCTGCCTCTTTCGTGTTTGTGGATCTTATTGGTTATTATCAATTGATTCTCCCAACAACTATTAGTCTGGCTTCTGAATAATCACAGTAATACTAGGAGAATTGATCTGACCTAATACTCAGTGAACGGGATATCATATATTGGAGCCAAATAAACCGAGAATAATCTCTGCAATGAGTCATCTCTCGAAAATAAAAACCGTATTATGACTAATCACATCCACTGCATCATTCAACCGATTTCCGACTGACCGACTCACTCAATATCACTTCGTCGTATGTAACTCGTATTGTATGCATAGTTTAACTCTTCCTGTCATCACTGTAGACGAATTCCTTTCATTTACCATTCCATACATCATAACTCAACACTTTGATCATAGTAATCATTGAAAGCATCAAGAATGTGTGCTGACTTTTGTTAAAAGTAACATTCTTGTGATGATTACATAATTACAATGTGATTGATGTGAATGAAATAAGCTTGCGTTTGTTTTCCATCTGTCTCGGTAATGAATGAAAATACAATAGTCTTACTAGAATGTCAACCTCTATATATATCTGTAGTTCACTAATTAACTAATTAATCTCTCTCACTCTCTCTCTCTCTCTCTGTGTGTGTGTGTTTCTCTGTTGCTCATTATTCAACATCCACATTGTTTACATCTAACGGAATGCCAATGAATGCGGCTTATCAGTTAAAAACTATTTTTAGTGAACTGAATTATCTAAATGATCTAATTAGGCGCTAATTCATTTGAATACCGTTCAGTGTTATTGATCATTTCACGTTGGTTCACTTGTACACTCAACATGTTCAAGTAAAACAATCAGAAACACTCACATATCAACACTGATGATGTTGTTGTGATAGTTTTGACCAATCGGTTTGAAGCACGTTAGCTCTAATCAATATTGTGGAGTTCGTGTCGACATTGTTATTATGTCTAATGTATCAGCCTGTGTTCATGTCCATTTATCAGTTTGTTGTTATATCTGATAGAAGTCGCTCGACTTCGTTCAGTTGGCAGTCACACTGATTATACTTGACAAACAGGAACTACCACAATTCCCACAACGGAAAGTAAGAACACGAAAGACTACTGCAACAGAGATTTACCAACTCACCAAAACCTGTCTCCAAATAACTCCTTCAATCATGTCCAAAATCACATGGTCATTAGACCACAATACAATCAATTATGTCTTAGTATCTACACACACTTCACAATATCGCATATATGAGAAAATATATAGAATTACAGAAGAGAAACACACTAAATACAATTCTCCTGAACTGATACAAGGAATAAAGTTGTCACTCTGAAGGAAGTTCATATCAGTCATCCTAGTTTGAGGTCTATCATGAATCGATAGGGAACATGCTGACCTGAATAATGTCACCCTCTTACGCTGCCATATCAAATATGATGTGATACATACAGTGAATAGAATTCCTGAGAGTATAATATAACATGAATAACACATCAGATGATCTGTTTAGAGTTAAGTGGGATCGCTGATGAACTGGTAAATTGATCTCGATGTAACACATCTAAACTAGTGTACACTACATTGAATGAATTTCCTCAAATCATATTATAATCGTATTGGGAATAGTGAAATGAAGACATGATCTACAAGGCACATTGGCATGTTTATTTGACAGTGGTGAGAAATAAACTCCTTGTGATGCATAGTCGAAACCGTTGATCATGCTTCAACTGAAGAACCTTAACCTATGAATGGTGGATAAGCAAATATATTACTAACAAACGGTAACAGTAGACTGATGATCTACTGTCAGTCTATGTCGGTTTATCAAACCATACTAATTGTAACCAAACAAAACTCGTTTCATCTTATCTTTAAGCCGAATATCGAGAAAATCATTGACTAGTGTCTTGAATTATGTCTTGTCTGTTATTCTTCATAAAATTTGGACAAAGTAAATTACATAAGCAGTACAGGCTCTCTATCAAGCGTACAATCATAATATACCTACTGAATGACAATTTGTTTAACGAATATCACAAAAATACTCTTACGATTGAAGAGACTATCAATATTTAATGACGAAATTCAACGATCCAAATATAATTAAGCAATAATAGACGATTAATATCCTGATGAAATGAAACATACTAAGATTACAATTTCACAGTCGATATATCTCTACATATACATTGTATAGTGATCGGATCAGCCTTTAAATCAAGTCAACTATGTTAACATTTGGTAACTGTTTTCACAAACCTATATTGATACTGAAGATTTATTAGATAGAATTTATATTGATTGAAATCATGAACTGATTAATATCAGATCACCAGATCAAAACTAAAAAAAATACTGGACGACCTTTTCATCCTATTGTAGGACTTTTCATCAGTGTACATCCATGATCTCAATCGTAGGATTCAAAATTTGTGGATTAGTTAAAGTTAAACATTAACACCGTTGGATATCAGTTCAATGATTTAAAACGTTAACCATTCATATACGAAACTAAAGGCCCAGGGTTCGAATCCCTGTTACGGAGAAGTCCCACAATAAGACGGAATGGAATAGTTTCTCATCTTTTAAATTCAATCAAATATAATACATTTATATATATATATATATATAGAATATTATATTTGAGTAATTACTAACTATATTCACATTGAAACATTATAAGAAAAGGTTATGGTAAATGTGAATAACATTCAAATCATATTGATGTGTTGACAGAAAGTGAACTTGAGGAAGCACACACATACACACACACACAGAGAGAGACACAGAGAGAGAGAGAGATAGTACAATATATGTAACAATGATAATATTATACTATACTGAATCAATAGTCTTCTCAGATCCATATTGATTGTTGAATAGTTCAACATAAAGACTATAGTGTAATATTGTTTTGTAAGAAAATAGAAAATATTCAAAATTTTGGCTTATTTCTTCGATATAATTCTACAATAGTTTGTATATTATTCTGACGATTTAATAAACGAATAAATAGATAAGATACATAAGTAAGAATAAATATACATATCCATGTAATTAAATATACTAAAAGACGACAACTAATATCCATAGTATCTAAAGCTGGATACATACTATACTTTGATTGATTGATTTGAACTTCTATACTGTGAATAAATAAAACATTATAATGAATTGATTCATTAATAACATTAAGGTAATGATATGTCAACTTATTCATATTACATAGATAATGAATAATGAATTGTATACATTATGTTAGTATAAAACTCCACCTGAAGTCCCTCCAGGGGCTACTACCAGTTCCAAGATTGGATAAAAGAGATGGGTTCAAGTATAGGGGTTAATGATTCTATCCTGTAGAAAACTAACTCGTTAAAAAACAAACAAACAAACAAAAAACACTAACGAGAACTTTGAAGCAATTAGTCCCATTTGATAAATTTCGATCATGGAATAAGAAGACGAAGATGGTCAGAACTATATGACGATAGATTAGCGTAATACATTTCGAACAAAATCTGATCACACATTACATACTTGTTATGAGCATTTATAGATAAAAATAAAAGGTCAACTAGACTGAAAATGGGGTAAGAGGAGGTAAGCATAATAATAATCTGAACACAATTCAAAACCTAATCACTCTGGATAATAAGTCAATATTACCAGGGTAGATTTAAGGTAAGAACAAACTGTTTTTGAATACATAAAGGGGGTTTGAATTTTCGTATGGCTAAGGCTTCAATAAACCTTAGTCTACGCCGTTTTACACATTTTTATACAACACCACAAAAGCCGACTTTAGATCAATCTTATGGCCTGTTTCAATTATATGTTTAGCAATAGAGGATGATGGATGTTTATCCTTTGCTCTTATTGGGTCACTTGATTGTATTTGTTTTTGCAGCCATTTCGGTACATGTTCACTCACCCTAATGTTAAGATTACGATTGCTCCTCCCTATGTATGTGTGACCACACACACATTTCAATTGGTAAACACAGTGGGATGTGACACAATCGTTTTCATGTCTTTGAGGTGTTGAATGAAACATGCACCTTGTTCTTTCTTTGACAATGACCTTTGCTGCGCAGTACGTTTTGCTGATGACTGATTTAAGTCTTTGTTTCAATAACAGACTATTTGAATCACCTCTGAATGGTAAGGTGATGTAGACAGGCTTTTTTTTCCACCGAGGCTACAGTAGGTCTCACTGTACCGTGGACTTTCCATCTATTTATGAATTTCAGGGGGTAACCATTTTCTATTAATGTTTTGTTTAACAACTTAACATCATCATCAATGGCGAGAAAAAAAAAGTATGTTATTATAAATGATCAGATAGTATCATATAAATCTCACTTTACTATCATTCAATATTGATAGTAGGTTTGAAATGGTTAAGAGTTCACTTAGACTATGAATCAGAACAAAGACTCAGTGATCAATAATTAATAAACTACCTATTTGATGCATCCCAACTCAGCTAACTAGAGGAAAAAGTTCAAGTTTGAAATGGGGAATTATATTCTGCAAACTGCCAGAAACGAGCGATCATAACAAATACAAATCAAAACGTATAGATATATATACAGTACAAAACCGTCGTTGGGGTGAGTTACCAAATAGTATAGTAAAAGGCAAAACGGACCAATAGGATTTAAGATATTTCCCAAGTGAGAAATACAACATGAAGGTGACAAAAACCGTTTTGGTGCGAAAACAAAGAAATTCAAATGTTCTAAATAAAATTACACATTTAGGTCCTTTTCGAAATGAGTTCTGAAGATCTAATGTCCCTAACATCCATATAAACAATATTGATGCATAAAATGTAAAACTGTAAATCATAAAGATAATTTCTGTCAATGATACTCACGGTAAATCTTTCCATCTAATCTCGTTTATCATTATTCGATGATGAACAGTTATATCTTATAATTGGCTCATAAAAATTCTCTTATTTAAGGTTTAATTATAAGTTGATCATGTATTGTCAATGATTAAGAAACTTCTTTGTATAGTTGCATTCTTTCAACTGAATTGAATTCATTGTAAAGTCTTCAAGAGTGTTTTGCATCAGATCAATGATCAAAATACTCACAGTTCAGTCATTCAAATGGTAAGATAAGAGTTAGTTTTGTCAGTCATACATCATTGATCTGATTAGTTACAAACATAAATATTTTAATGTGAAGAAACTGAACTTACAAGATATTATAGGCGAATGCCAGTAGACTGCATATCAAGACTGAAACCAGATATCTAACTGGTTTCGGTTTCCATGTGAAGGCATCAAGCACAATTACCACTGGTATAAGTATATTCTACAACAATAAATTTGGGAGAAGTATATTTCATTTATGTAAGATTTGTGTGAAAAATATTGTCAATTATGTAGTAGTAGTAGTAGTAGTAGTAGTAGTAGTAGTAGTAGTAGTAGTAGTAGTAGTAGTAGTAGTAGTAGTAGTAATTTCAGTAGTCGAGATCATGAGTCAATTGAAGCTAGACCACCATGAAAAACGTGGAAGTACTGAACGATCGTTTCGTCTTATTGTAGGAAGTCCTCAACAGTATATATCCACGACTCCGCCTCGCGGGATTTGAACCTGGGTCATTTGTGAGGTAGTAACTCACTAATGACGCTGGTGGATGTGTCGCTCAATTTTGTGGATTGGTTGAAGTTAAACATTAACACCGTTGGATGCCGGCAATCTCAGTGATCTAATGGTTAAGCGCTTGCTAGATTGAATGAATTGGGATCATGGATGAGCACTTCTGAGAAGTTCTGCAATAAGACGAAACGGCCGTCCAATGCCTTTAGATTTTTAATGGTGGTCTACCTTAAATTGACTCATGATCTCAATTACTGAATATATTATTAACATATCCTTTATCAGGTATAAGTTTCACTTTGACATCGTTCAATTTCATTGATTACAACATCTCTGTAGAATTTATAGTCGATTCAAAATACATAATCAGAAGATGGTACTTATGTGAAGTAATATGAATCAACAATGTTAGGAGTGAACATCAACTTTGAGATGTAGGCACATCTAGCTGACGAGTCCCAAATAGGACGAAACGCGCGTCCTTAATTTCACTGCTAGCCACTATCCATCTTTGCTTATAATGCTTGTAAATTAAGGCAATATTGAGGCAATACGCACAGAATACCCTGATCAATTTCAGTCTTAAACATCAATAGGAAGATTCAAGTAAATCAATATCAAGTGAATTAAACTGCACCCGATTGTATAAGCAAGTGGCTATCAGAATTCAGTAGTTAAGTGAATAACATGATGACGTTTGAAGTGAACGGTATTGGTTTCGAGTTCCAGAGCGAACAACAACTCTGAGATGTAGATACATCTAGCTGACGAGTTCTAAATAGGATGAAACACGCGTCAAACTGGATTCCACTACTAATCACTATCCATTTTTTGCTTATAATGTTATGAATCATTTCACAATTTAACATTCACTCCAATACTTTATCATAAGTTCAATTCAGTTCATAACAGTAAATATCATAGTAGTTCTATCTGTAGAATATAATACTTCAGAAGTATTTCAATACTGTATTACACAAACATATAAAAAGAATGAATCTATCCAAACAACTAAACAAACAAATATACATTTCAATCGTTAAGATTATGAATTAGTTAAAGTTAGACTACTATTGGCCATCAGACAAATCAAGAGCGGGAAAGCAGCAGGACCTGACAATATACCAGCTGAAGTGTTGAAGTCCGACATCGAAGTAACTACAAGCATGCTTCATCTTCTATTCAAGAAGATTTGGGAGGAGGAACAAGTGCCGATGGATTGGAAAGAAGGACACCTCATCAAGATTCCAAAGAAAGGAGATCTGAGCAAGTGTGAAAACTACAGAGGCATTACACTACTGTCAATACCGGGTAAAGTCTTCAACAGAGTGTTACTAAACAGGATGAAAGATGCAGTAGACGCTCAACTTCAAAATCAACAAGCTGGATTCCGTAAGGACAGGTCGTGCACAGACCAGATTGCGACACTACGGATCATCGTCGAACAATCAATTGAGTGGAACTCGTCACTCTACATCAACTTCATTGATTATGAGAAGGCGTTTGACAGTGTAGATAGGAGAATCTTATGGAAACTTCTTCGACACTACGGAGTTCCTGAGAAGATTGTCAACATTATCCGGAACTCATACGATGGACTACAGTGCAAAGTAGTGCATGGAGGACAGCTGACAGATGCATTCCAAGTAAGGACCGGAGTAAGGCAAGGCTGTCTACTCTCTCCCTTCTTGTTTCTCCTGGTGGTCGACTGGATTATGAAGACCCCGACATCTGAGGGAAACCACGGCATGCATTGGACAGCTCAGAACCAATTAGACGACTTGGACTTTGCAGATGACCTAGCCCTCCTATCACGTACACACGAACAAATGCAGATAAAGACAGCCAGCATAGCAGCAGTCTTTGCATCAGTAGGCCTCAATATACGAAAAGGAAAATTCAACATCTTCAAATACAACACGGAGAACACCCATCGAATCACACTTGATGGCGAAACTCTGGAATATGTAGAATCCTTCAGATACCTGGGAAGCATCGTCGATAAACAAGGAGGTTCAGATGCAGACGTAAAGCCGAGGATTGGCAAGGCAACGGCAGCATTCCTTCAATTGAAGAATATATGGAATTCAAAGCAACTTTCCACCAATATCAAAGTCAGAATCTTCAATACCAACGTCAAGACAGTTCCACTGTACGGAGCTGAAACTTGGAGAACTACAACAACCACCATCAAGAAGGTACAGGTATTTATCAATAGCTGTCTACGCATGATACTCAACATCCATTGACCGGATACCATCAGCAATAGCCTTTTGTGGGAGAGAACAAACTAGCTTCCAGCTGAACAGGAAATTAGGAAAAGACGATGGAAATGGATAGGACATACATTACACAAATCATCAAACTGCATCACGAGGCAAGTCTTAACCTGGAATCCTGAATGGAAGCGGAAAAGTGGAAGGCCAAAGAACACATTACGTCGGGAAATAGAATGAATAACAAATGGAAAGAGGTGGAAAGGATTGCTCAGGACAGAGTTGGATGGAGAATACTGGTGAGCGGCCTATACTCCTTCACAAAGAGTAACAGACGTAAGTAAGTAAGTAAGTAAGTAGACTACTATTGAAAACGTGTTATAAGAACTCGTTCATAGAAGTGTACATCCACAATCCGTAGATTCTCAGTTCAAATCTCATACAAGGAAAAACAAGATCACAAAATGTACACTATCATGGAGGAATCCTACAATAAGATGAAATAGTCATTCAAATACTTTCATATAATATATATATATATATTGAATAATAACTTACACATATATAATTGAACCATAATGGTAATTTCTTTAATTCTGGATTACAACTTAATATATCCGGATGTAATAATATAATTAATAAATACATACATAATCCTACCTAATTATTATGATAAATTAAATTGAATATTATTACTTACCAAACTATAAGTGAATATAAGTACATAGAAATAACTATGTATTTGATACCATTGTAACCATTGAAATAATGTTGCTGTCATAAAGTATATTATAGATAAACCCTATAATAATCATTATCATTATCATTAGCATTATATCAATTATAATAATCTATATTTAACTTACCAATGTAATTACAGTTATTGATTTAAATAAATTAATTAATTTTATAAAATCAATATATTGATTTGGATAAAAATATTGATAACCAATTATGGATATAATAATTAATAAAATCAATATTAATAAACGATAAATAATATTGATTATTATATTTAATGAATATTTTGATAATATTTTAATCATGATCAAATAAGAATAATAATATAAGAAATATTAGTTGTATTAGATCAAGTCTATATATATAGATAACTATCACTATCACTATAATCACTAGGATAGATAGTTCATTGTATACATTTGTAATTGGAGAATAAGTTTATATAGATATAGTTAGTAGAGACATATACATATCCTTTTAACCCAATAAAACACATTATATAATTAGTTTATATGACTCAAGGTGATAATTAGATGAGTCTTTTGAAGTAAGTATGTTAAGAATGTTTATATTAATTAAAGATCTATATCACATGATCAAGATAACTCACTCACTCACTCACTAACTCACCAACTAACTAACTAACTCACTAACTAACCAACTAACTAACTACCTAACTCACTAACTAACTCACTAACTAACTAACTAACTAACTAACTAACTAACTAACTAACTCACTAACTAACTAACTAACTAACTAACTAACTCACTCACTCACTCATTCACTAACTCACTAACTCACTAACTAACTAAATCACTCACTCACACACTCACTAACTCACTAACTCACTGACTCACTAACTAACAAACTCACTAACTCACTAACTAACTAACTCACTCACTAACTAACCAACTAACTAACTACCTAACTCACTAACTAACTAACTAACTCACTCACTCACTCATTCACTAACTAACTAACTCACTAACTCACTAACTCACTAACTAACTAAATCACTCACTCACACACTCACTAACTCACTAACTAACTCACTCACTAACTAACAAACTCACTAACTCACTAACTCACTCACTCACTCACTAACTCACTAACTCACTCACTAACTAACTAACTAACTAACTAACTCACTAACTAACTAACTAACTCACCAACTAACCAACTAACTAACTAACTAACTCACTAACTAACTAACTAACTAACTAACTAACTAACTAACTAACTAACTAACTAACTAACTAACTAACTCACTAACTAACTAACTAACTCACTAACTAACTAACTAACTAACTAACTAACTCACTAACTAACTAACTAACTCACCAACTAACCAACTAACTAACTACCTAACTCACTAACTAACTAACTAACTAACTCACTCACTCACTCACTAACTCACTAACTAACTAACTAACTAACTAACTAACTAACTAACTAACTAACTAACTCACTCACTAACTAACTATCTAACTAATTTAGTACTGTGGAAGTAGTATGAATTACGTTGATGTTTTCTAGATTATATATGTGAGTATATTTTATAAGGGGGTTAGTAGCATTTCACTGAACTTTAGTCAAATTATTTAACAATTAGATTAGATTATTGGATATCAAACAAATTATTGATATTCATTAAAGGTAAATGACAATCAATGCATATTAGTGAATTGTACGTTATGAACTAACCGATGTACTGTTATCACTTTCTCTGTATTGTACAGTTTTCAAAGTATCTATAATATCTAGATATATCAATGGGGTAGTTCATGTAAGGTGTTCATTACGAGATATGATTTCAATGTTAACTAATTCATTACACTATTCTTGTCTAATTCAACTAGGCCTTTAATCATTCGACATAGATCATTTACAATTACTTTATCTTTTGTGTATGTTGAGGTCCACTAATGCAGAATTGGCTGCTACACTAGTTTGTATGCATAAGATAAAATGACTAGATCATTTGCGAACTCCAAATCTTCTAATTGATTCTATGTTGTCGATTGTATTTTGAGATTTCCCTCAAATGTCAAGGTCTTCAGTATTTAGTTGACCACCAGAAGGAAGAGGAAGGAGGACAGTTGGCATTTTTGTCTAACTCCAGTCCTTAATTGGAATGCATCTGTCAGCTATCCACCATGCACAACTTTGCACTGTAGTCAGTTGTACGAGTACCGAATAGTGTCGATAACTTTCTCAGGTATACTATAGTTTCGAAGAGGATCCCATACCATCCTCTTATCCACACTGTTGAATGCTTTGTCGTAACCGAGGAAGTTGATGTATAGTGATGAATTCCATTCAATTGATTACTGGACAATGATCCGTACCGTCACGATTCGGTTTGTACATGACCAATCCTTACAGAATCCAGCCTGTTGATCTCGAAGTTGGGCGTCTACCAAGTCTTTCGTTTAGTTCAGCAACACATTATTGAAAACACTTATTGGTACTGACAGTAGTGTAATGCTACTACAATTTTCGCATTTGATCAGATCACTTTTCTTCGTTATCTTGATGAGATGTCCTTCTTTACAGTCCGTCGACACTTCTTCTTCCTCAAAATTCTTCCTGAATGGAACGTGTCTGACTTTAATGCTTCAGCTGGTATATCGTCAGATCCTGCTGCTTTCCCGCTATTGACTTGACTGATGTCCATCCTGATTTTTTCTATCGTCGTTGGAATGACATTGATAGAAAGGTCTGTAGGTGCTGCTTCTATATTCGATGGATTGTATCGCCCTAGCCTATTCAGTATTCTACCTATCTGTTTCACTGTTCTTGAATCTCAGTGATAATCTTGCCTTCGCTGTCCTTCACTAGTCTCTGTGGTTTACTATATTTCCCTACTAGTTTATTCATTCTATCCCATTGTTGTCTCATATTTCCTACTCTTGCAACTGTTTATGCTCTTCCACTTCTTTCCGCTTGTTAACTGTAATGCTCCTCTTCATTTGCTTGTTTGTTTCTTTGTGCTCAGTTTGTGCCCTGACTTTCTCTGCTCTTGTTCGGTTGGTGTTAATTGCTATCTTTTTGTCCTTCCTTTCTTGAGTCCTGTCCAGGGTTTCGATGGAGATCCATTCTTTATGATGGTGCTTCTTGAGGCACAACACCTTCCGAAGCGATGTAAATAATGCTTCGTTGATCCTTTTCTATTTGTCCTCCATCGTAGCTTCTTCATCTTTCACAAGACCCAATAGAGCTTGAAACCTTTTGTTGAGAGTAATCTTGAATTCGTTGAATTTCATGATATGTAGAAGGAAGACTGCATTAAACCTTTGTACCGCAGTTTCACCAATTGTTTAGTGTTTCTTTAGTTACAGTTTCATCTTGCGCACAACGAGATGGAGATCTAATGCGATTTCAGATCCTCTCCTGGTTCTCACGTCTTCCATTGACCTCATGGACTTTTTATTGATAACAATAGGATCTATCTGGTTCTCCGTGATGTGATCCGATGAGATCCATGTAGCTTTGCGTATGCGTTTTTGTGGGAATATTGTGTTTCTAGGTCTCCTATAGGGATGATCATATTATTTTTTGGGCACTTTGCTATGAATAATTGCAGCCTCTCATAGAAGTGATCTTTAATGTCATAGTTGTTATCATTGGTAGGTGCATAACATTGGATAACATTCGTTGTGATTCTCTAGTTCTTTGTTTAGAAGAATGCTTTGGTGATGCTGGATCCGTGAGATTCCCAACCAATAAGTGCATTCCGTGATTCTTTAGACAACATCAAGCAACTCCCTGAGTGTATGGAGCATTTGCCCCTTCGTGATCGGAGTGCAGCAGCATCTCTCCCGTGTCTAGCCTTTGCTGTCCAGTTTGAGTCCAATAAGCTTCGCTGATTTCGAGTACTGACAAGTCGTATTTCCTCATTCCCACAGCTATTTGACTGGTCGTCCCGGTTAGCAGGAACTTTTGCATCAGTGGGCCTCAAATTACACACAAGATAAAGCAACATTCTGAGATACAACATGGAGAACACCAACTCAATCACACTTGATAGAGATCTGGACGATTTAAAATCTTTCACGTACTTGGGAAGCATCATCTTAAAAGAAGAAGGATCGGATGCAAACTTAAAGTCGATGATTGGCAATGCAAGAACAGTATTCCGACAACCAAAGTACATTTGGATCTCAAAACAACTGACAACCAATATCAATATCAGAATCTTCAACATCAACTTCAAGACAGTGTTGCATACCAGTTTAGATGTGTTACATCGAGATCAATTTACCAGTTCATCGACAATCCCACTTAACTCTAAACAGATCATCTAATATGTTATTCATGTTACATTATACTCTCAGGAATTCCATTCACTGTCTGTATCACATCATATTTGATATGACAGCGTAAGAGGGTGACATTATTCAGGTCAACATGTTCCCTATCGATTCATGATAGACTTCACACTAGGATGACTGATATGAACTTCCTTCACAGTGACAACTTTATTCCTTGCATCAGTTCAGGAGAATTGAATTCAGTGTGTTTCTCTACTGTAATTCTATATATTTTCTCATATATGCGATATTGTGAAGTGTGTGTAGATACTAAGACATAATTGATTGTATTGTGGTCTAATGACCATGTGATTTTGGACATGATTGAAGGAGTTATTTGGAGACAGGTTTTGGTGAGTTGGTAAATCTCTGTTGCAGTAGTCTTTCGTGTTCTTACTTTCCGTTGTGGGAATTGTGTTAGTTCCTGTTTGTCAAGTATGATCAGTGTGACAGCCAACTGAACGAAGTCGAGCGACGTCTATCAGATATAACAACAAACTGATAAATGGACATGAACACAGGCCGATACATCAGACATAATAACAATATCGACACGAACTCCACAATATTGATTAGAGCTAACGTGCTTCAAACCGATTGGTCAAAACTATCACAACAACAACATCAGTGTTGATATGTGAGTGTTTCTGATTGTTTTACTTGAACATGTTGAGTGTACAAGTGAACCAACGTGAAATGATCAATAACACTGAACGGTATTCAAATGAATTAGCGCCTAATTAGATCATTTAGATAATTCAGTTCACTAAAAATAGTTTTTAACTGATAAGCCGCATTCATTGGCATTCCGTTAGATGTAAACAATGTGGATGTTGAATAATGAGCAACAGAGAAACACACACACACAGACAACGAGAGAGAGAGAGTGAGAGTGAGAGAGATTAATTAGTTAATTAGTGAACTACAGATATATATAGAGGTTGACATTCTAGTAAGACTATTGTATTTTCATTCATTACCGAGACAGATG